CGGGCGGCGGCACCGACTCCCCGGCTGCCGCGCTCGAGTGCGCGGGGTCCCGCGGCCGAGCCCTCGGAGCCGCCCCGCGCAGCCAATCAGCTCCCGGCGGGGCGCGCCGCACCGCGCGCACGTCAGTCACCGGCGCGGGGACCAATCGCCTCCCGCGCGCGGGCTCGCTGCGCCGGGCCGGGCGCAGGTCAACACCCCCTGAAATGCCACCAGAAATAAACAAATAAAAGGAGCGGGAGCAAAGAGGCGAGAGGGGAAAATAAAAGCGGGGACGGAGAGAGGCGCAGGGCGGATACGGAAGGTTTCGCGCTGCAGTTAACGCGCGTCGCCTTGCGGAAAAGCGGGGACCCTGGTGGCACTTGCAAACCCATGGGATAACGAAGACTTTTTTTTTTACACTGTTTCATAATTTCAAGCAGCAGCCCGTCAGACAGGCGGCTCCCGCCCTCGGTTTTGTTCTCGGCGGCCACAGTACAAAGACAGGTCGCTTCCCAGGAACCGGGCGAGGAAGGCTGAGGCGAAGGTCCCGGGGGGCTACCGCAAGGGCTGGGGAAGGTGTGGCCACGGCTGTTCCGCTGCATTCAACGTGCTGCGCCTTTCCAGGTGGGACCACCGATGGTGGCCCTGAACAACACTGAAGGCAGCAGGTGAATGTTGCTCCGGGTGGCGGGAAATACTGCTCACAAAGGTGTTAGCTTTGGGAGGAGAGTTTCTGAAAAAAAAATTTTTTTGTAAGAAACTGTACTCAAGTCCCAGCTCAGCCGACAGCACGTCCGTGTGTGCGTGCGCATACACACATGACATGTTTGTGGTGCAGAAAGCCAAAACATTAAAAACACATGTGCATTTATCGGCGTGGTTTGTGTAAATATCAAGTCCCTCACTCTGGCACATATGCCACATTCAGATCCCCTCCAGGAACCTCAAGTGGAAACCAAGGGCCCCCTCAAGGCAGAAGCCAAAAGGATGGTATTAGCAGGAGCACAGCTCAGTGGTCTCATCCAGCCCCCAGGAGCAGAAGTCTCCCTTGCCACCTACACCTCCCAGGTCCTGGGAACTCTTGTAGGTTTCAAACATTCCCCGGAGAGAGAGGAGAGGGCCAAGCTCCCCAGCCAGGAGGCAGCCGCAAGCAGGGCACGAAGCTTGCAAGGGCTGCACACTCTGTGTCCCTAAGCGTGGGTGGGGGGAAGCTGAGGAGGCTCGAAACCGCCTCTGAGCGGTACACCCCATGTGGCAAATGGGCCACAGACCTCAGCTCAAAGTAGACAACATAGGAGGTGCTGCCCTGCTGGGGCAGCTTGTTTGTAAAGCTCTAGGGACGCTTGCTTTGGACTCTGCAGACCTAATTTCTAGATGGACAGAATCCAAGTAAAACGACTAGAGTTTGTGAAGAAGCAGGGCTGTTTTCTTAAAGCAATCACGCCTGGACGGAGACTGGGATTCCAGTGTGCGCACAGGGGGTGTCTGCAGATGGGCAAATTCTCTGTCATTTTCAGGCCAGTGAAAAGTGCCCCAAAGCCAGCGCAGCTGAATGAGGGGAAGGAGCTAGAGAAGGGAGAGCAGGACTGCGGGTGGCCAAGGGTTAATCTGACAGAGTTGGTAAGGATCAGCCTGCAGGCTGGGGAAGACATTCCTCACCAGAACAGACCGCAGGAGACCGGCAACTGTGTCTCAATTTAAGGGACATTTAGAGAAAAATGCTATTTGGTAGGGGGTCCTTTTCTCTCCTCAGGCCAGGCCCTCAGCCCCAAGCCAAATGTGTCTGTTTACTCACTCCTTGGAAAGGCTGGCGTTCGCAGACAGCATCCTCTCCCTCTGAATGCAGGTTCGCAGTGTTCCCAAATGGTAGGAGGACTTGGGTCTTTCCACCGTTAACATTCTGGAAATCGGTCCAGGTGATTGCACCTCTACCAGCCCCAGATGTCCCAGGTCAGGAGGACCGAGCCTGTGTCTGGCCACGCCACGTGACTTTGGTTACCTCCGTTTGCCAACCCCACCCCCAGTGGTCAAACTGCTTTACAGATGAGCCTCCCAGACCACTCCAGGGACACAGTTGTCTCCAGGTCAAACAGGGAGTGTTGGCTTTAATACAAGGAAGACCCCAGAATCTTAAAACCAGTCTGCTTCTGGCTCCTCCCAAGGCCCGGCTGCAAAGGAAGGGCTCGAGGTCTCAGCCACCACTGCACTTTAATCCACACCAGTCAGCCCCCAAACTGCGTAACAGCACCAGGCAGAGCAGCATGGAGACTTCGTATTTTAGAGGCACATACAATATTTTTATCCTTTTTCATACTGTCTAACACTTGCACTTCAAAATCCAGTCCCCCTTTCCCTGATGGCAAAAGTGGGGGCGGGGGACAGGCACATACACGCATGTGTATACAAGAGAAAGGTCTAGAACAAGGGCTCTTTGAAACATGCTACTGACATGACAGAGCTTCCAGAAACCACTGATGCTGAGTGTGAGAACTGGGCCAGGAGGCACATCCTCCCTCCTTCTTGAATGGTTTAAATAAACAGGGACAAAATTTAACTTTAAACTTAAGTTATTCATTTCAAAATAATTCTGATTTCCTCACACTGCCAGATGGTTGTCCATGAAAACTGGAAGTACGAAGCCTGTTGCTTCGTAACGCCAGCTCGAGGAGGCATTCTTTAGTCTCCTGGTTGCGCAGAGCTGACCATCAGGCCACACAGGGTCACCGAGAGCCCCCCAGGTGCCTACCAGGTGGCCTCTTCCCACACGCAGAGCTCCTTCCTGCCCTCTCCTGGAACGCTGGGAGAGGGGGAGCCTCCAGCCCACAGCTCCTGTTTGTTCCGCCATCGCATCCTCCGTGACTGTGTGATGCTCTCCCTCAACCAGCAGCCCTGCTCCGGCAGGGCAGGAGGGGCCTGCCCGTGGCCGGGTAGCCTTGGGTCAGTTACAATGCGGAGAGAAGCATTCCAGCCCAAGGGCAGGAGACCGGCTACAGCCTCAGCTCTGCTCCGAACAGGCCGGGTGACTTACAGGAAACACTTGGTCTCTCCAGCCTCAGCGTTCTTATCTGTAAAGCAGAGCTGCTCATGTCTGTCCTGCCACCTCGTGTAATAAAGGATGTGAATTTTCAGCATCTAGGGTCATGTGAGGCACGTGGCTATGTTGTCAGTCAAGTCCAAAAGGTTTGAAGTGGTACTCCATGCAAGACCTCGTGACGCATAATCACGTGCTTACTTGGACAAGCCTCTTTCCCATCCCGCCTCCGTGGATGTGCAATCCTGAGCCCCTCTGGGCTTGGGGAATATCTGGGAAGAATCTTAAAAACTTGGAGTTGATGGCGAATCCCAGCCTTACCTCTTCCCCGTGCAAGCACTCCACCGCACTGATCTGGACGGGGGCCGGCGGGGCATCCCTGTCACTTATTTGGGACACAGCCACCAAGTTCAAGGCAATCCACTAGAATGTTCTTCCATGGATGAAGGGAAACTCTGCTCCCTGTAATTTCTACCATCCAAGCGTCGGTTCCTGCCCTAATAACCAGTAGCAGCCTTGGGAAAACACGCTCGGCCGCAGCCTGAACAGGGAGGCCATGGC